AGTTTTTAATAGTGAAAAACTGGAGACAATTTCTTGGTAAGAAGTGCAGTAAATGATGGTTTACCTATGCTCTGTAATACCATGCAGGTCTTTAAAAAAGAGCACAGTAGAGCCATATTTACTGATGCGGAAAATAGGCTATGATAGACTTTGAGTAGAAAACAACAAAAAGCAAGTTTCAGAATGATTCTTAGAGTGAACCATTACTGTAAAATAAAAAACTGCATATATACAAAATATATTCTCCTGGGCCCAGGGAAAGGTGTGGAATGCATGCTCAGTCATGTCCGTCTCTCTGTGACCCCATGGACTGTAGCCCACCAGACTCCTCTGTCCATGGGGTTTCCCAGGCAGGAATACTAGAGTGGATTGCCACTTCCTACTCCAGGGGATCTTCCCTACCGGGGATCTAACCTCAGTCTCCTGTGTCCCCTACATTGGCAGGGGCATTCTTTATCACTGTGCACCTGGGAAGCCCAAAGCTGTGGAAAGACAGCATCAAACCTTTAACATGCTCTGTGGCGCCGCGGGGCTGGGGAAGGAGACAAGCAAGTCTTAGTACTTCGTAAAGAATTCAGAAAATTTTGCTTTGTTTGAACATTTTATTTTTACAAGTATGTATGAGTTTTGTAAGTCAAACATGTTTTTAAAGAGTACAAGAAAGACAAGAAGCCATCCAAGGGTGGGGGGGGGGGGAGGCAAATCTTGCCAGCACCCCCTTTGTCTCGCCTCATCCCCGTAAGTGCTAGCCTGGGCCTTTGTCTTCTTACCTGTACCCCCACTTTCTCAACTGCACCCTGCCCTCTCCTCTGTGTCCGAATTGTCTCATCTGCAATCCTGTCCTCTCACCTGTGCCCCCTTCTCTTACCAGTTCTCCAGAGTGTGGCTCTTTTGCAGTTTCACAAAGAGCAAAGCCTTTGGAGTGGAGTTCACCGCAAGTCAATTCATGTGAGTGAGTTTACCTTCCCAGCAGGAATGCGAGCTCTCTGGGAAAGAAAGGAATTAACATATTTAAAAAAAGAAAATTGAACTCCTAACCCCTGGCAGGCGCATCTCTAGCCCATCCAACCCTCACAAGAACCTTGTAAGATATTTTTATCTCCATTTCACAGAACACTAAGCTCGGAGAGCTTGTCACTCGCTCAGTCTTACAGCAAGGACTCAAACAGAGCTCTGATTGGCCCCTGCTCCAAGCTTTCTGTGCCGTGGCCCAGGGGATGCAGTCACACCACACCCTCCCATGCACTTCCCAGCTCAAAAGTCTGCATCATGATGGAGGTAGTGGATCCTTCAGCCAGCGAATCCATTAAATAGTCTTTGTATTCATTTTCCATTAAAGCTTCATCTCCCCAAAACTTAAAATAGGATTGGCAATTTGCTATGTTTGACCTGATTTCACCCATTAACATAATTTATCAAATTAGAGAACAAGAGCTCTTTATCTCTTGGATAAGGAGCGGGGAGCCCAGGCAATTTCAGGGTGAGGCGACAGGGTACCACTAAGGGTGTGGGGTCCCAGGAGCATTCAGGGAGAGAAAGGAGGAGGGCTGAAGATGGTTCAGAAGTTGAGGTGGGAAAGAGGAAAGAATGTTTCATGGCAGAGTAGAAGGGTCTCTAGGCTTCGTGGAGGAAACCTGGACTCAGAGCCCAGCGCTGCTGCTCATTGGCTGGGAATCTGGGGCAAACCAGTTTACCACCTGAGCTTCTGCTATCTTCTCTGAAAACTGTGAGAAGTTACCAGTGATGCCAGGGTGATAACATCGTTCTAATGAGGTGATTGTGTGAATGCCGCTGGTTAAGAACCAAAAGAGGGAGACATTTACAATGTTTCACATCTACTGACATAACGTTATCTTCTTTTCTTTGGATTGAAAGCTCTCAGTCTGAAAGACGGGATGTTATGAAATTGCTGTAAGTGCCTTAAAGTAAAGTGAAAGTCGCTCAGTTCTTTCCGGCTCTTTGTGACCCCATGGACTATACAGTCCACGGAACTCTCCAGGCCAGAATACTGGAGTGCGCAGCCTTTCCCTTCTCCAGGGGCTCTTCCCAACCCAGGGATTGAACCCAGGCCTCCCACATTGCAGGTAGATTCTTAACCAGCTCAGCCACCGGGGAAGCCCGTAATGGCTTAGAGGCAGAGATTATCTTTACACCCTCCCCACTACCCCCATCCGGAGAAGGCAATGGCACTCCACTCCAGTACTCTTGCCTGGAAAATCCCATGGATGGAGGAGCCTGGTAGGCTGCAGTCCGTAGGGTCGCGAAGAGTCGGACACGACTGAGCGACTTCACTTTCACTTTTCACTTTCATGAACTGGAGAAGGAAATGGCAACCCACTCCAGTGTTCTTGCCTGGGGAATCCCAGGGACGGGGGAGCCTGGTGGGCTGCCTTCTATGGGGTTGCACAGAGTTGGACACGGCTGAAGTGACTTAGCAGCAGCAGCAGCACTGCCCCCATCTCCTGGGACCTAGAATAGTGCCTCCCAGGTGCTCAGAGAGGTCTGCTTGAATGAATGATGAATAAATGAAAACCTGAATTCAACTCATAATGGCTCAAGCAGTGGCCCTGTGCAATAATTGCAGCCATGCTCCTGACCATCCTCCCAAGGGCTCTCCAAGTACAAGCCTATCCCGCAGCAGCTGGCAGCAGCTATTAGAAGTGGGGCATATATGGTGAGGAGAGTTCAGTTTACAGGTAAGAGGAGGCCCCTGAATCATCTCTTTGCTGGCCACAACAGGCCTGGGGCTGCTGCTGGAATAGTCAAGATGGAGACTAGGGAAGGATGCAGTGACTGGACAATAAATGGAAAGGGATCTTAAATTATTAGATAAAAGCAAAAGCAACAAACAAAAATAATAAGATCCTCATCAAATAACTTTTTAAAGTACATAACACACACACACAAATTGTGCTTATAGTCACTCTAATTGATGATAACATCTAAGGAGAATGATATTGTGTTTTTTGTTGGGGGCTTAAGATAAAACTTTTCTCTGTGTGTGTGTGTGTGTGTGTGTGTGTGTGTGTGTGTATTTTCTCTGTATCCCAGTAAACATGGTGCTGGGTTTTCCATCCATTGATGGTAACACATACTGTTCATCTCCAGCTGCAATTCTTGATTGCTTTTGGCAGAAAAAGCACTGTTTGGGGTTGAGATGAGAGAATGATTTGATACTGACAAAAGATGGATTCTTACAGTGGACTGAATTATACACACATACATCCTCTTCCCAAAAAAGATACATATACATCCTAATTTCCTGAACATGTGAATGTTACTTGATTTGAAAAAAGGGATCTTTGGAGATATAGCTAAATTAAGAATCTTGAGATGAGATTATGCTGGATTATCCAGTGGGTCCTAAATACGATGACTGGAGTCTTTATAACACAAGGGCAGAGGGTGATGTAAGACAGACAGAAGACAAGACGCTAAGAGGAAAAGGCAATGTGAAGACAGAGGTGGAGATTGGATTGATGTGGCTACAAGCCAAGGAAGGCCACGGATTGTCATAAGTCACTGAAGCTATGAAAGAGGCAGGGAATGGATTCTCTCCCAAAACCTCAGAAAAAGTCTGGCCCTGCTGACACCACGATTTGGGATTTCTGTCTCCAGAACTGTGAGACAATAAATTATTATTGTGTTGAATCATCCACTGTGGGATAAATTGTTACAGTAGCCGTATGGAGCTAATACAATTCTGAAATACTATTTTCGCATGAATGTTCAAAATGAAAGATACTAACACTCAAATCTCAATCTAAACCTCAGTAGTAAAAAGTCCCCAAGGGAGCCCAGGTCAGTTTCTTGGGCTCAGCAGTTTCTCAGAGTCATTTCCTAGACTCCTTAGGCTCCCCGACCTCTCCAGCAGAGTTTTGCCCCTTTCTCCATATTGTGGGTCTTGTGTAACCCTGCCCAGAAATGTGCTCAGCTGAGCCCCATCCCCCAGTTATCATGAACATCTAGCACTAAGTCCCACCTACCCAAGTTCAAGGGCTTGGGAAAGTCTGAGATGTCCTTGAATTCCTCATAATTAGGGTATGTCGATTCTGGTTCTGGGAGCATAGGCACTTTCTTTGTAGCGCTTTGCTTATACCACAGTGTCTCAACACTATTAAGCACCAGATAGCTGAATGCTGAATGGTTAAATCTAGCATATATCTCTATATTACCTGAGTGAATAAATGGTGAAATTGTGTTCTAATTTCCTTCATATCTCCTTTGAAAGTTTCTATGCCCCTAAGCACTCAGGGACCCTGTGCTGATCTGTGCTTCTCTCTGGGAAGCCTGTTCTGCTCCTGACATCTCACCCACAAAATGAACCTGTCCCATGCCTGTTGATCTAGGCCTTTCTCTAATGCTACGGACAATTATCAGTAATGCATTAATTAGGTCAGAGTCCAGATTAGAAAAGACTCAGGAAACACGATATCTATCTTAGAGCTATAGCTGAGGAGCCATCCACTTAGAAGAACTGGATGTAGATGGAGGGCAGGTTGAAATTCCAGATATCTTCAGAGAGTAAGTCAAAGACAAAAGACTGAATCAGTCAGATTTGGTTTTATGTCTGAGAGTCAGAGGTGTATAGCAATAGGGTGGTCTGTCTTATGAGGAAGTGACAGTACCATTTTCGGAAATATTCAAGCACAACTATCACCTCAATGCTCATCAAGTTCACGCTAGCCTGGACTGGTTGGGTTCCTCTTCCACCTTCACCACTATATGTATGTCCCCTTAGAAGCCACATGATTGGTCAGAAAGGATGCCTTGTCCAGACCAAGCATGGCCATTTCTGGCTAGTCTCAAGTAGCACTGTCCCTGGTTAGAATCTTTAAACAAGCTCTCATAGTCCACTTGAACAAATCCCTTGAATAATGTTATATTTACTTGTATATAGAATCATGATTATTTTGATTTCAGGTAAAAGATATCCAACACAAATCAGTTTTCATATAGCAAACATAATTTGTTCAGGTACTTCTGGAGGCCAGAGACGGAGCTGGTCTCAGACACAATCAGTCAGGGCCTGCCTCTCCATCCCCTAACTCTGCTTCCTCCATTCAGAACCCAGGGTTGCAAAGACTACTGACTTCCTCCCAGCCAGTAGCCCAAGGGAACAGGGCAGTACAATTGCTTTCTAGGGAAGAGCTCTGGTTGGCTCAGCCTGGGTCACGTGTTCGCCCCTCAGCCAAATCATTGTACCAAGAAATTAGGGACTATGATGGGCCAGAACTGGGCAATTTTCACTATTTTGGCCCCAGAGAGGGGACTGCAATTAGCAGCCAAGTGAGAGTCACATGGATAGATACTTGAAGGAGGTTGCCTGGCAGATACAATAATAGCCATCCATTACTGTGCTTAAGAGTTTACAGAGTGCTTGCACACACATGACGTCATCTGATAGCTATAATCCTGTGAGAAGTATAGATCACACGTTGCTTTTCCTCCACCACATGATTCTGCCTCACCTTACAGAAGCAGCTAGTTCCACATTTAAAATACTGTGAATTTCTTAAAGAACTTTGTTATAGCAGGATAGACTCATTGAATGTCCTTTATTGTCATCTGAAAGTCCTTACACACCACCAACTCAAACTATTTCAACTCCTGACGGTAGAAAACTCCCTTATGAGTTTTCAGAAAGCAAATCCTCTAGGATTAGAACCTCACATCACACTGAGAGTAAATCAGTAGCAAAGCTATCACTCCACTCCCTGGGGACCCACTCCTGAAGCAGGGATCCTCCTTCTCTTCCCCAAATTCTTCCTTGGCTGTTTCTTTGCCAGAAAAACCAGAGATGCCATGAGGAAAATCAGACAGGTGTTATCTCAAGCAGAACTGCAGACAGCAACAGGTCATTTGCTGAACTGTACACTCATTTTCATTCTTTTGTTAATCCATGCATCTGTTCATTCACACACCAAAATTGTATTGAGCACCTGTACACTGATTAGTGATCAGGCAAAGCAATTTTAATAAAGAGATCCCAAAGCAGAATAGCTTAAGAAACATAGAACTGTATCTGTCTCTCACATAAGAGCTGTCCAGGGGCTGGGGGGTTTTGCCAAGGATCCAAGTTTCTTCCATCTTTTTTCTCTTGTTTCTCTGCTATACCTGTACCCAAGATCATAGGAAAGGGAAAACACAAAAAGACACGCTACTCTGTTATTAGGAATGGGAAGTGGATGACTGCCTGACTTTTGCTCTCAACTCTTTGCAGAAGCTCTGTAGGGCCATGCCTAGCTGCAAAAGAACTGGGAACTGTAGCTCCAGCTAGGCAGCCATGGACTCAGTCAAGACTTACTCAGAGGAAGGAGGGGAGAATGAGTAGTTGGAACAGTAGCAGTGTCTGCCCCAGTCTGCTCCACACAATGCAGGGTGCTAGGCAAGATGACAATTGCACAGAACTGCTCTCAGGTTGCTTGTAGACTCATAGGAATGAAGTGCCTTGTCCCTGGTAGCAATACAAGGCAGTAAGAGGAGGAGAAACACAGAGGCAATACAAAGAGCTGAGAAAATTCAGAGGAGGAGGGATGACTTGAACTTGAGATTTTTAGATTGACTCCTAAAGGAGGTGGCATTTGAGCTGTTTGGCCTGGATATAAACTTGAAAATGGAAATGGGGTGAGGCTAGCAAGCAGCGCAAGGAGCAGTGATCACTGCAAATTGCAAATCGAAGAGCAGGTTTGCACATGAATGAGGGACTTGACTACCCCTTCCTGACAGCACTACACATCCACTCCCCACCCCCCACTTCTGTATCCATCTGCTTTAGCATCTGCCAGTCACGGGCATCCCCCTTGGTCTTGGAAGATACAGAGGCATGCAGATTTGCAGAGTATTTTTCTAACTGTGGCTTGGTGGCTCTCCCTTAAGCCATCTTCCATCCCTCCAGTGGGAGAGGCCTCGAGGCCTAAGGAGACAGGCCAGGCTATGAGTCAGAGTCGAGAGACCTGCAGTCTAATAACTTATTCATGACAAACCTTTTCAGAGCTTTGCAGTTTACAGAGCGTGCTGACCTGTAGAATTTTATTTGCTTCTCATCTCAACTCAGAGAGACTGGCTCAAGGAAGACATCAGACAGGAAAAATGCTTTGAAAAATCAGCATTGCTACAGAGTGAAAAGCATCACTATAGCAACGCTAAAATCTTTTTATTTCAAACTTCATTGATTCAGAATTGGTGGTAATTTGCACAAGTGTCCAGGCTGAAAATTTTCTTTCTGCTCACTATAACTAAAAAGATTTGCTAAGCAAACTAACAGCGTGGCCAAGATTGCCAGTAGCCGTTTATAACCCACAGAAGACAGCCATTTTCCGTGGGAATTGTGGCACTATTGTAAGCGTATTGGCCTTTAATTAATTTTGAACAATGCCCTTTTCATTAAAGTAGGTTTGGCGGGATTTCTACAAGGCAATAAAACTTGGTTAGTCATTTGTTTGAGCTTCTGAATACTCTAAAAGAGTAAGAAAATTGCTAAGCAAATGAGTTTGGGGCCTCATAGAGAGAATATGTTCAAGAAAAGACTGGACAACCACTTGGCAAGGATGTTGAAGAGGAGATTCTGGCACCAGTGTGCAGTTTGGATTAATTCTGGCAGTGAAAACACTTCCTTTTCCTTTCCCCTAAAATCTCCATAAAAGCTCCATCAGGCTGACTCACAGAGCGCTTCTGCTTGCAGGGAGGGTGAATCCTCTTGATTTCTCACCTCTGATCTCCACTCCTCTCAAGGCATCACTGATGAGGCACTGGAGAGATCCAAGACTTGGGGACATGTAGAACATCTTTGAATCCTGTGTCTATAAGTTTACAGAGAGCTACAATAAATGACAGTTGATGCTTACTCAGAGCTTATTCTGTGGCAGGTCTTGCTAAGTGCCTGTTTTTTACAGATGAGGAAACTGAGGCTTTGAGAGGGTTTTTGTTTGTGGGTGTTTTTCTCCCCCTCATTGAGTGACTTGAGAGATCTTAGTTTCCCAATCAGATCAGGGATCGAACCTGCACCCTTGGCAGTGAAAACTCAGAGTCCTAACCACTAGACCACCAGGGATTTCCCCGAGGCCTTGAGAGTTTAAGAAACTGGTCCATGAGCATGGCAGTGCTGAGAGTCAGGCCTGGTCTCACAGGTGCAAACAATATGCTTTAATAATCATCCTCTTTACAGATCACACCTTAGTATCATCAACCCCCTCTCAGGTCAGTGGAACATGATTCAGTGGTCTTGCTGCATTTTTTTTTAAAGTGGTGGACAGCTGAGGATCTCAAGAAGGGCAACTCCATAAAGAGAAACCTGAACTTAGCAATACTTACTGTGTTTCCAAGTGGATGCACATCTGCTGGGGACATGGAGGGGGCTCCAGAAATCAGACACTGGGGATGAATATAGAGCCACATGAACAATTTACAGCACTTCAGCTTGGCTGTTTTATCTGAAGGTCATGCATTCAACAGACACTTAATGAGCCTCATTCTACACCAGGCACTGGGCTGAGTGTTGGGGAGATTGAAAAAAGACGAGGCCTCTGCCTCTCAAGGGAAATGACTTGTTGAAAAATAACAATATTCAGAAAATAAGAACAGCAGCACAGAGCGAGGAGCAGTTGGAACAGAAGCCAGCGTGGGTGACTGGCTCTCACTGCAGACTTCTGTAGGGGACATCTATTAAATGTCTATAGTCGTGTTGAAGGGGGTGAGCCCTCTTCCTTGAAGGGTAAGGGTCAAAAGAGACTTCCTGAAGAATACTTTAGTGACTCCTCATGATGACTCTGCAGTCTCACTGACAGATTTGGCCAAGGGGGAGGGACCCTCATTCACCAGGCTCCCTCTCTGCAGCCCCAGCCTCCCCAGGCTGCCGGTCTTGCTGCAAGCACTTAGAGAACGGGCATGATTGATGGGAGGGCTCAAAGGCTGTTCTCTCACCTCAGATAGCCTCTCACTTCGCAGAGGGAGGCTGCATTCTATTTGCGGACAGACTCCTTCTGGCAGAAACATCTAGGATTCGGTCTACCTTGCGGGCCCTGCCCACCTGGGGCACTGTGTTTTCATTCCAGGTTTCTCTGTTATTTGACAGGAGAGAAGCTCCATGAGAAATAGGAACTGCCATCTCCTGGGGAGGTAGGAAGGAGGAAATGGATGATGGACCTGAGGGGAGACATGGATGGAACTGGAAAAGGGATTCTGATACCAAGTGTCAGTCTGTTACCGGCTGTACCACTGCATAAGCTCTTTTTGAGACCTCAGAGGTCACTGACTTTCCTTCTCTGGCCTTCTCTCTTTTTTAAATTTATTTTTAATTAAAGGATGGTTGCTTTAGAACGTTGTATTGGCTTCTGCCATACATCAACATGAATCAGCCATAGGTATACACATGTCCCCTCCCTCTTGAACTTCCCTCCTACTGCCTACTAGGCCTTTGCTTAAACGCTCTGAGTTTCAAGAAACAGGCTCTTACCCAGTTTGATTCAAGTGTAGGCCTCATTTGCATGACTGTGCTTGGTTATGAAGACTACTGGATGCTCATAGGGACCCAGGGACAGCAGGATACTTGGCTCCACAGAGGCCAGAAGAGGGACAAGAGCCAGGACCATAGGACCCAGGACAGTGATAGTCTACTTCTCCCCCCACATCTTGGCCCCAGGGGCCTCCACGTCACCATGGAGACTGCCCTCCCATCCTGGTGTTGCACCGGAATATCCATAAACTTATCCAGCCCCTCAGCTTCCGTGGCATCAGGCCTCCTGTCACCTCCAGGGCCCTGCTACTCTCTGTGGAGTTTTCTTCAGTTTCTCTTTTTCCCCCCAAACCCACCATCACTCTCTTCATAATCTCCAGTTCATATTCCTGCTTCTAGAATTTCTTGCATTCTAGAAGCTGGTTCAGGCAGCTGACATCACAGTGGCTTCCAATGAAGGAATGTCCCTTAGCAAAGGCCTCTGGGCTGGTTCCAAGGTCCCCGCATTCCCTGCCTTTCCCCAACCCCCTGAAAAGGGGGCTGTAGGCACTAATGCATTAGGGGACCTGTTCTGCCCAGGTAGGACCTCTGCTTTCAGACTCAGGCTCTGAAAGTGCGGTGGTGGAGGGGGGTTAAAGGTACTTAAAGGTCATCTAGACCAAAATCCCTATGAGGTTCTGGTCCCTTGTACCACTGTCTGGCCAAAGCATCACCCAGCCACTTTTTAAATACACTGTGTGACAAGATGCCCATGCCTTCTAAAGCAACCCTATCAACCTGTGGTCTACTCTGCATGTACAAGGAAATTCTCCTTCTATTTAGTTTGAATCTGCTTTAGCCTGTATTCTGCCAAAGACAGAACCGTTGGTCCTATTCTATGCTTCCAGGCCTTAATGGGCCAGTTTAATCCCTTTTAAATATCATACCCTTGTAGATAACAGAAGACAGTTTCCTTGCATCTTCCCTTCAAGAACCTAATTCCCTCTAGTTCATACAAGCATCCCTCACGTGACCTGTTTTGAGTTATCTTAGCACCTTACCATTCTCCCTGGACCTGTTTCTGTGTACATATGTCCCTCTTAAAACGCAGCCCCAGAGGAGAAGTAGTTCTCTAGGCAACAAGTTCCCAGCCACATGTGGATAGGGTTGCTTCCATTGCAGATTTCTGACTCTTCCTCTTATACTTGATTCTAGTCAGGGGTTCCATCTAGTCAGGGGTTCCATGGTTCCCAGTGATCCTTCTGGGTGGCATATTATCAGCAGTGCTTCTGTTTTTAGGACATGCCTATTTGTTCAAACTGAATCAGACAAAGACCACCGGGGGCAACCTGTGGTCTGGAACGAACACACACACACACACACACACACACACACACACACACATCACAGTCAGATTTCCTGGCTCACTGCAGTGAGAGAGGACACTCCAGGGGAACCATCAGGTATGTGTTCCTGCAGAAGGATTCTGACTGGGCCATGGGGAAACAGTGCTCTGCTCTGGACTGGCTGCTTTCTGATTCGGGTCCAGGGGAAATGGAGGGATGAAGGGCTGTCAGAAGACCAGGGTGTTTGGCGATTGGGTGTCCTCTTTACTGGGAGGGTTTAGCAAAGCACGTCTGGAACACCATTAGGAAGAAAGCGATGGTCATTCCTTTTACAGCCACTGCATGCATGACCTTGGGAGAAACAAGGTCACCCGCTAAGTCTGTAGCTGCTTTTATCTGTGTCCTCCCAGCCTGATTAACTAGAAGACTCTCTGTTGTTTTTTTTTTTCAGTCTTAGCTCATTTTCACTCTTTCAATCCCAGCTGGATGTTTATTCTTTCAGTATCTTCGTGGATTCAAGGGGCTTTCAGAGGCAGGAATGATGTCTTTTCAATGACAGTCCCATGTAAACCACACAGGCCTGGAGGTGGTGCCTGCCTGACCGTCTTCTTTTTACTCCTCTTACTGTCATTTTTTAGGCCTCTCTGGCGGCTCAGTGATAAAGAATCTGCCTGCAATGCAGGAGATGGAAGTTCGATCCTTGGGCCAGGAAGACACCCCCCAGAGAAGAAAATGGCAACCCCCTCTAGTGTTCTTGCCTGGGATAATCCCATGAACAGAGAAGCCTGATAAGCTACAGTCCATGGAGCTGCAAAAGAGTCGGACACAACTTAGTGACTAAACAATAACAACTGTCATTCTTAGGCCTCACTTGGACTGTGATCACAGTCTACCAGTGTCCCCAGACCTCTCTTCTGAGCCCAGGTCCATTCATCCAAACGTCTGCCTGATAGCCCACTGGGACGTCCAACATGCCCTTCAAATGCAACATTCACCTCTCTTGTCCCCTCACCCACACTTAATCACTTGCTCCTGCCTTAGGGTTGCTACTGGGTATTGTGGTTTCACCCACCCAGGCATCCTCCTCACCCAAGATGCTTCCTTTTCCAGGAAGTCCAAACGGTTGCGATAGCTTATCCACACTTCCTCCTAAATATCTTTTAAAGCTGCTTTTTCTTTCTCGGGTCCATTGATACTTTGCTTGGATTAACATAACAGCCTCATAACCCAGCTTCCCCCTCCAACCTCTTCACACTTTAATTCATGGAATGCCCTGCCACCAGAGAGGAATCTTAAATCATGCAAATTTGATCCTTTTTCTACCTCTGAAGTGTCCTTTCACAGCGTCTCATCACCTGGTGTGAAACCTGAAATATCTTACACAGTTCATGAAGTTTTTCATCTCTTGGGCCGACTTTTCATCTGATGGGCCAGCTTCTCCAACCTCGTTTTCTACCACATCTTCCCTTCACCATGTGACCCAGCCACAGAGAGCCAACTCCCTGGACTGACTGCCCTTCCTCCTTTCCCCTCTTTGGACAGGCTGTTCCCACCATCTTGGATGTCAGAAATATTAATGGCACTGTTACCAATGGTAACAACATTGATACCATTTATTGATCACATACCATAGGTCAGGCACTCTGCTAATGAATTTGCATGCATGCATCAACCTAATAATTCTGTAAAATAGGTGCTATCGTTATCTCCATTTTACAGATGAAGAAACCAAGGTTTAAAAGAGGTTAAGAGACCTACCCAAGGTCACACAGCTGATAAGTGTCAGAACCAGGATATGAATCCAGGTTTCCATCCACTGCCTCTCCTACATTTATCACTGCATATGATAAATTCCATTCATGCTCTAAAACTCAACTGCCATGTTCCTGTTTTTGGAATCCATCTCTTTATAAGCAGTTAGTAGATGCCCACCTTCCTGCCATGGCATCTTGTACCTAATTAAATTATGTCAACCAACTCCCTGCTGTCCTGGCCTTGTGGGTGGTACCCACCCACACATCACAGCCCTCCCTAACTAAGCAGCCAAGCTCCTCACTGTGGGTTTTGCCTATAACCCAGGCTGTGGCTGCCCCAAAGTGGGGCTCCTTCAAGCAGCCTTGGCTTGGGAAGCTCTCTGTTGGTCCTGCTGAGACCTTTTCAAACCTGCACGGTCTCTGATGCTCCCCTTTCATAGGTGCTGTTTCCCCATCATTAATCTTCAACTCAAGATTCAATATCTTCCATGGTTGCCGAATTCCTGTGGGTGGCATCAGCCCTGCCAAGTGTTCACTCCAAGCGAGCACCATTCCCATAATTTCTGGGGATGGTAGTGTCTTGAGTCACACCATGCACAGCCCTGGGTGGATTCCTCTTCACCAGGGCAGCCTCTGGGGAAACTTCTTTCTCCCCCAGACTCTCCAGCTTGAAGCCAACCCCAAACAACTCCTCTGTGATCAGATGCATTCTGCCTTCCCTGGCAAATTTCCTTGAAAAAGACTCTTCATGTAGAGTTTTTGGCACGATAGTCCAAGACAGGGTTATAATAAGCATCCTCTTGAAGCCTTAAATACAGTCTTTGGCTCTGCAAATACCATCATGATAGACTTGTGTTCTCAGTACTAAGAAATGTTGTGGGCACTGGAGCTCAGAAACGTCCTAGGCCATGAGGCAGGCTTTGTTCTTCCTTGTGTCTGGGATCCAAGGAGAAAATATGGGGTTCCAAGTGCCAGTTCACATGACACTCTCCTGGAGGCCAAGAGAGGGTCTCTGTAAGCATGCTTCTGTGCTGAGATGGTGAGCAGAACACACCTGTGGGGGCCGCTCAGTGCCTTTGGGCCATGGGGCTATGAGAGTGAGGTAGCAGGGACACATTTTGACAAGTTAGTGGCCAAAAGCAGAGGCTGGGAGGGGGTCTGGGTGGAGCCTCCCTGCACATACTGCCTGTGGTCAGAAACGATCATGGTTACAGTTGGAATTGGAGACATGGGGCTCAGATGACCTCAGAAGGATGCTGGTGGGTTTCCTCACTGAAACCATGAAAAGGTGAACATCGGGCTCCCTGTGTGCCCACCCGCCCTGCCTCCACTCTTCCACATTCTCTCCGGGTAGTTGCTCTGGGCTGCATGTAGCCATTCCTGAGACCTAAGGCAAACTCCTCCTTCCAGATCAAACTCCAATACTTGTTTCAGATCCACGTGTCCCTTTGTTTCCCAGAAGACAAACATGTTTGAGGAATTCAAGCAAAAATACAAAAATGTTAAAGCTTTGTATTTTTGATAGGAAGGAAGGTCTAGTTAAAAAAAGACTTTGGTTGGGAGTATTTTTATAAATCACACACAGTTTGGAAAGCTAGCTTTTTCATCCATTGAGTTCCTTAAGGCCTGGATAAAACTGTATTTTCCTAAGGAAACTGTGGAATCCTTGTGAATTGCCTTACCTTTCAGGATTTTTCAGAGAGGGACAGAAAGTGAGTGGCCCATGAGTTGGATGTCTGGGGGGGGCACTACTGGGGCCCTAATGCTGGCACAGCCCAGATCTGGACAGTAGGATGCAGTGAGAGCGGGCCAGAACCCTGGGGGATACTACTGCCATGGCCAGAAAGTCTGCAGTTTCCAGGGCACTTTCTTCCCCACAAGGGAAGCCACTGGCGGCTGCAGCTGAACCTGGGCTTCCAGGCTTGACCAGAGGCACGGCCTGGGAGAGATGGGGCAGAGGTTTTCCTCCCTGGAGCAAATTCTCCATGAGAGGCACCTTTACAATCATGTTTACAAGGTGATACTGTAACACAATGGTTACTTGCACTGGAATGAAAAATTCATTGCCAGAAGCAGAGGGAACCTGAGGGTCAGCCTGCTCAGTTAGTAACTGATGCCTTTAGAAAGTGTATTAGCGCCAACAGCTGTAACAAATACCACCAACTGGGTCCCTCAAACAGCAGACATTATTCCTCGCAGTTCTAGAGGCTGCAAGTCCAAGATCAAAATGCCAGCCAGTTCAGATTCTGGTGAGAGCTTCCTTTCCAGCTTGCGGACAGGACACCTGCTGTGTCCTCTCATGGCAA